GCCCAGGAGTTGGAGGTTGCTGTGAGCTGTAATGCCACGGCACTCTACCCAGGGGGAGAGCTTGAGGCTGTGTCTCAAAAAAAAAAAAAAAAGAAAAGTTAAATTATTCTTTAGTGTTTACGTACCAATTTATTTTGGTATTTTGAAAATGAATATGGCAAATTAGTTGTTCAGGAGTAGTTTCACACACTTCAAAGAAGATCACAGGGCAGTCTGCATAGATTCATCAAAAATTAGGTGTAGGCTTGATGCTTGTGGCTCAAGTGGCTAAGGCGCCAGCCACATACACCTGAGGTGGTAGGTTTGAATCCAGCCCCCGGGCCTGCCAAACAACAGTGACGGCTGCAACCAAAATATAGCTGGGTGCTGAGACAGGAGACTTGCTTGAGCCCAGGAGTTGGAGGTTGCTGTGAGCTATGGTGCAGTGGCACTCTACTCAGGGGGACAGTTTGAGGCTCTGTGTCAAAAAAAAAAAAAAAAAAATTATGTATAAATATTCTACAAAGTCTTGTGTTGCTGAAAGTTTTGTGTTCTCTGTGGGTAAACACATAAAAATAATGCAGTTTGTGTTCTGAAGAGGATAGTTCCATTGAGACTTGGAAAGTGGACAGAAAATTTAACAGAAATAAACCTTTTTCTTGTTTGTTGCACACTCAGGGTGAAGAAAGAATTTAACATTGATAAGGAAAGTAATTGGAAGTAACAGTGTGGTTAGAGCCCAAAGTAGCTTTTTCACTAAATTTATGTAGGATGTTCTGTTGAGTAACTTCTTAAATTAGAAAAATGACATGATTTTTACATGGTATACTTTGAAGTCTAGCTCAGATACCATGCTCTCTGTTCTTGTAATTTTCGTTGTTTGGCAGGCCCTGGGCTGGATTTGAACCTGCCAGCTTTGGTGTATGTGGCTAGCGCCTTAGCCGCTTGAGCTATAGGCATGGAGCCTGCTCTCTGTGTTCTGTCCAGGTTATCATACAAATCAGAAGAGATAGATTTTGTGACTGCTTTATATTTCATTGGTTTGGTCATAAAGTTATTACAAAACACTTGTTTTATAGTAGGTTGTTACTGGGACCATAGTCCCTCAAGGAGAATTGCCTATGCTTCAGGGAGCTTTCTGTTTTAAGGTGACTGGGGTAGACGGGGATTTAAGTGTTTTCAACTGTGACTCTGAGAAACACTTAAGTATATGTAAAACTGGAACAAAAGTTTTAGGAAGTAGTATTTATTATGTGTGAGTGACTTTTTTTTTTTTT